TATATGAATATATATTTAATTCCTAAAAATATAAAATTATATGTATAGTATATATTATATATAATAAAATATAATATATATAATTTCTAAAAATATATATAATTCCTAAAAATATTTCTTTCAATTATGAAACTATATTGAAATATAATATATATAATTTCTAAAAATATAATATATATAATTCCTAAAAATATTTGTCTTTCAATTATGAAACTATATTGAAAACAAGTTAAAGTTCATGAAATATTCAAAGAAAATTGCTATATACAAAAAACAAGTTATGAACAAGGTGTCACCTGTTTCTGTCGGGTATCAATAAACAACAGATGGAATGGTGGTCACCAAAAGTGAGTGTTTTCCCTTTAGTCAATTGGCTGTAGAGTTTCTATCTAATTTAGTTTACCTTAACAGGGTTATGAAAATATATATGAGGATGAAAAGAAAATCATTACCAATTTGTCTTCACCACTATAAATGGAAATAACTATGGGTCTAACAATTTATAATAAAATATGTATTCTACATGACAAGTAAGTGCTGCTGTAAAAACCTTCTCAGAGACAATGGTATATATAAAAATAAGTAAAATCTTGAAGCTCCACCTATTCTTTATTATCTTTATTTCATATTCCTAGGAATAAATAAAGTGATGGATTTCCAAGACGCAAAAAGCAAAACAGGAGTCTTGGGGTTCTGAATAAGATTACTTGAGCAGCTGGGCGAGGCTATAATCCCAGCAATTTGGGAGACCGAGGCAGGAGTATCACAAGGTCAAGACATTGAGACCACCGTCCTGGCCAACATGGTTAAACCCCGTCTCTAGCTGGGCGTGGTGGAGCACGCCTGTAGTTCCAGCTACTCAGGAGGCCAAAGCAGGAGAATCAATTGAACGCGGGAGGTGGAGGTTGCAGTGAGCTGAGATTGCGCCACTGCACTCTAGCCTGGCAACAGAGTAAGACTCCGTCTCAAAAAAAGAGATTACGTGAGCTAAAGGCACCCACGGGTGGATCTCTTCCAAGTAGTCAAAGTGAGTTAAGTATATTCTAGTTCACTACAAAAACTGTTTGCCAGGGTTTCTTCTAAGAATCTATGACAGACAGAAGTTTTATATAATGTGACTAGTACGTGAGAGGTCACCTTGAGCCTGATAATAGAACATTCTGGTATCTAAAGCCCCCACAGATAACCCTTCTTTCCCAAAACTGTCATAATTCAAACAGTTAGTATAAGTAAAATAAATATGGATATAACGTATAACGTTTAGTGATTTCAACAGAACTGAATCCAAATGCTTCAACATTTTTGCTAAACTAGCATCTAAAAAATATTTATATGAAACATATTTCATATTTTCAGATTCTCAAGACTTAAGCTTAAACATTATTAAATAGGTACTTTTTATATGTGTAAAATTGGTTAAAACATAAATGTAATAAAAGTAGGCTCTAAGATATTTGATTATCTCTCAAAGACTGCCACTTAGAACAGGTCAGTGGCTCACATTAAGTGAGACAGAAAAACGACTGTGTTTAAATCCCCTTCCAAAATAACGATCTAAAAGAAATAATCATCCTGAAAAACAATATAGTTTTCATTCAAAGCTGCTAAAAAGTACTTTGACTATTTATTGTATTATTTTGCAAAAAAGAAAATACATTAAACAAAACCAGAATTTGTAAGTCAGAAAGAAAGATCCCAGAACTTCAAAGAGAGTAGATGATGATGCATGTGTGTGAAAACTATGGAAAGACAGGTCCCAACAAGTCCTTTGGCACTTCTATAAAAGATGAAAAGTCACTATGTGACATAGAGTGCAAAGAAAGCAAAAGAAAATCTGAAAGCTTTCAAGTTACATTAGAGTTTCTAGAAAATATGTCCAAAGTATGAACATCAATTTTACAGTAACTTCAAAAGGGATATGTGTAAGCTCATTTATATTTTCTTCAAAATTAACTTCCTTGCCTAAAAGGAAGTAAAAAGTTTCCACATAGAAAATAATGCAGAGAAAATTTCTAAATAACAAAGTACTTAAACAGAGCTATCTAGGGCTGCCTTTACAATAATTATATAGTTTCACTGATGAAATATGATAAGAATGGGACCCATTCCTTTGTGGTAAGCAGGGAAGTTGCTGTCTGCCAGGAGTGCAGGTCCACGAGCTTGGGGTGTGTCATGATTGCCCTGTGTATGTCATGAAGGTAAAATTTTCTTCAAAATCGTGATAGAATAATAAGACTAACATGAAAACAAATTATACTTCGATGAATTAATGGCAGGAAAAATGAAAAACTGACAAAAATAAAAATACTATAATAATGTATTTCAAGACAGAATATCCCCAACTGTAATATATGTGCTAAAATAAAAAGTGAAAGTAGGAGGACATTAGGAGCAATAGCTTAAAAATGTAACAGTGAGAGAGAAAAATCAGTTATATATTTCAAAAGGTATTTATACAAGTTAGTAGAATGTTGTATGCCTTGACTCCAATAATTAACACTGTGCCAAGAAACACAACTAGAACACCTTATTTTTTACCACACCACCTATTAATTAAAAGAGAGAAACACAACTCTGAAATAGAAATGATAAAAACTTAAGGTAACAATAGGAACTCAGCACAAAGGATAAGATCAAGATCAAAAGAACTGATCACTTTCTTCTGTATCTCTTAATCCTATATTCCTTGAACAGTTTCGTATGATACCTTACACCAATTGTCTTGTTTTCTGAATTGATTGTTGGAAGGCAGGCAGAAAAGATGAGAGGGAAAAAGGGAAGGTAATCACCATTAGCAGTTATTTTCAACTTTTATTTAGTATAAGCATATTGCTAAGAAATTTGCTTAGTCAAACCCCTTAAATTCTAATTCATTAATTCTAGAATGGTCCAAAAATAGCTGTAGGGTGGGTCCAAAAAAGTCTACATCTCAACAAATACTAATGCAAGTAATGATGGCCTCTGGAGCATCATTTCCAAACTTGGTACCACACAGTATTCTACACTACCAGAAAAGTTTTAAAAATGCTTTTTTGACAAAAACAAGTTAAGAAAAGGAATAAACAAAAGTAATCATTTTTCTAAATATTAGGATATTTTTCCTGGAGCTTCAGTGTGCATTTGAATTTCTACAAGAAAGAAAACAATCACACCACATTTCCTAAAATTACTGGCTCCATTATGGACTCTTTTCCTGGTGTTTCACTCACCAAAATCTGAAATAAGCCTAAAGCTTTTAAACAAGAAAACTAGAGACAAAGAGCAAGATGAAAGGAATGAGATTATATTAGCAAATTTTAAAGTTTCCTCATAATTCTAGGATAAAAAATGCAGACCGGTAAAGGAGAGAAAAATATAGAAGAATCCTTTAATATTAAAGAGTTCTCTTTTATCTCAAGTAATACTGAACTACAGGCACGTAAATATTACCATAATATACATAATTTTCCTCTATATGATAACTCCAAAGTTAAAGATGATAATACTGGTGACAAGGCTTTCTTGAATAAAGAAACTGGAAAAACAGTGTTTCATAAGGGGATAATCTTTGTAGACACAGACATATGAAATAATAACTCTTCTCTAAGATCTTAAGAACAGTAGTTACCATTTTTAAACAATTATAGAAAATATTTTAGAAATAGAAACTAGCAGATTTATTTAACAAAGGAAAATTTTCTCTAGTTCTCTTATAAACAAAATATATTTGTGAAGCCTAAAAAAGAGTTATAAATAGTGGAAACTACAAATAAAAACTATTTCAAGTTGATCTACTTAGCGCACCCAAAATAAACTATTTCAATTAGCTAAGAGATAACAATTCCCAGATTTGCCTCACCAATTTTATATGAGCCCATAACACAAAACTGAATAAAAAAACAAGGTGAATTCTCCAAAATGAGATCCATTAAGTGGCTATAATATAGAAGGTTAACACAGGTTTTTAAAAAATTTTTTGAGAAAACTGTTACTTTAAGGGAAAAAATTAAAGACTCTTTAAAATGTAACAGGTAACAAAACAAATGATGACAACTAACCCTAAAAATATCTTTATATCTCCCTTGAGGAAAGAAAGTTTTGTAAAGTGCCTGCCTCAGCTCAAGCCAGGAAAGTAAAATGTGTCTGCCCTAAGAATTCATAACTATAAGCCAGTACTTAAAGGTTTAAAATTTACACTCCTGAAGTAATGGAAAACATACACACCAAACTTTTATTTAAAATATTCTCAAGTTGGTAGAGACCCTTCCAAGGTACCTGGTAAAAGTGAACATAAATGATTTCCGAAAGAAACTCTTTAAAACTTGGCCTCAAAGAATTTGCAATGAGAAAAAGGTAAACACCCCAAAAGAAAAATCGGTTAAACATTTGCATACATATTTTCCAGAAAAGGAAATGCAAATTACCAAAAATATGTAAATAGATGCACAAAATTGTTAGTATTGAGAGAAATGCAACATAAAATGTCAACATACTATTTTCTCTGCATCACATTTGAAAGCATTAAAACACTGGACAAGTTTGTGAAGCAACAGAAACATTATCCATTGCTGGTATGAGTGTGAACTGGTTTGGAAAACAACTGTAGTTATCTAGCAAAACTGAAGATGCAGATAGTCTGTAACTTAGCAAATCTACACCTTCATACATACACAAACTCCTTGTTACCATGATGCAGGAGACATTTATCAGAATATTTAAAACAAAGTTGTGTAGAATAAAGTCCCAGTCTTGCATTTGATTCCCAGTCTCATTGCTTAGTAGAATAAATCCTGCACCAGTAACAACACTTGTAAATTTGTGAAAATGAATTTTATTATTCCTTAAAAAAGAATTTTTTTAATCCACTACACGTTTCTTTCCCTGACCTTTAGCTTTTGATAAATGAGAAAAATGAGCCAGTTATCAAAGAAGAACTAATTCTTACTTCAAAAGAAAAATAAACATAAAAAGTAAGTTGTTGGTCACTAACAGGAAAAATTTTTTTTTTTTTTTTTTTTTTGAGACGGAGTTTCACACATGTTACCCAGGCTGGAGTGCAATGGCGCGATCTCGGCTCACCACAACCTCCGCCTCCTGGGTTCAGGCAATTCTCCTGCCTCAGCTTCCTGAGTAGCTGGCATTACAGGCACGCACCACCATGCCCGGCTAATGTTTTGTATTTTCAGTAGAGATGGGGTTTCACCATGTTGACCAGGATGGTCTCGAGCTCTTGACCTCGTGATCCACCCGCCTCGGCCTCCCAAAGTGCTGGGATTACAGGCTTGAGCCACCGCGCCCGGCCGAAAAATTTTTAATTATTGTGCGGAAAGAAACTGCTTGTATACACACTGCAAATCAGATATCTGGAGTTAAAATGTTAGTCTACACAGATGGGTGATTGTTACTTTATCGCCATTAAAAGGTTTCAAATCGCAAGCATGCTTCTGTGTACACATAATGAAAAATGGGCAAACAATGAAGACTGATCTCTTCTTCAGTCTGCTCTGTTTAATTCTGCTGTCTGCTCTTCTCAGATGGTGCATCCCTAATTGTACACAGATCAGTGATACATAGGAGTATAAAGTTGTCGCCCATCAATAAAAATCACAAAGTTGGTTTAAAAAATAAAATAAAAATAAAAAATACACCAAAGTTGTGTAGAATAGAAAAACATGAAAACAACCTAATTGCCCATCAACAAAGCAAAAGAAAAACTAGGTAATGGTCTATTCTTTCAATAGAAAACTATACACAAGTGAAAATAAATAAACTACTACTACATGAATCAGAATGTCTGAATCAAATCAACATAATTTTGGTCAAAATATCAAATTATCAGAGAAAAACATTTGATGCTATTCACATGAAGTTCAAAAACTGCAAAAACAAACCATGTATTATTTATAAATACATAAATTTAGAGTGTAAATATCTTCTATAAAGAAAAAGTAGTGAATGAGCAATATAAAGCTGAATAAAGAAGTAGCCTCTGGGCTAGACAGATAAAGATGAGATTGTTGAGGGATTTACAGGAAACTTCTAAAGCTTTGGGAATATTCCATCTTTTAAGGTGGGTGGTGGATGTGCTGGTGTGTTCATTATTATGTCTTCAACAACATATAAACTACAAACACTCAGGCAAGCATGTGGTATATTTCATAATATAGAAAGATAAATTTTTCTATATTACATGTAATATATATGTCTTTTTCTTTAACTTCTGACTATATGTTTGCCCTGAGTATATGTTTGAATTCTGAAGCCAAAATCTCTTAAATTTTCACCTCAGAATTATATGATGCTTATGATAAATAAAAAATAAATTACCGTGTTTCTTATTGGAATCTTCTTGGGTTCTGGTGGCACATCCTGTGGAACAAATTTCACTGGTTCCTTAATCTGCCTCCTTGATCGTTTGGTTCCATCTGGTAAGGTTTCCATGGCCATATCTGCTTCCATGTCACTGCTCCCTGCCTGGTCACATTCTGAGCACTGCCTACGTAAAGGGGAAAAATTAAAATAATGTATTTATTATTATCTTCCAGCTTTAGCTATGTTTTTATAAATACAAAATCCAGGTATGTTAGAAGAATATATAAAAATATACACAGGTAATGTGATTACAGGGTACATAATGAATAAACATTCAGAAATACTCCTCTAAGAATGACTACTGTGAATATAATATGTAAGGCAAATTAATGTATCCTTGTAAGTATAAGAACACATTTAACAATGCCATATAAGTGAACAAAGATGAGATTCAACACTGATTAAAAAGGTGATTTTGCCAGTTGCAGTGGCTCACAACCATAATCCCAGCATTTCAGGAGACTGAGGCAGGAAGATTGCTCACAACATAATGAATCCCTGTTTTTACAAAAAAAATACAAATTTAGCCAGGCATGGTGGTATCCTCCCTGGTATCAAGTGACCCTTTCCCCTCAGCTTCTGAGTAGGAAGGTGAGGTGAAAGGGTCACTTGATCCCAGGGGGTCGAGGATGCAGTGATCCATGATCGCCAACACTGCACTCCAGTCAGGGTGACAGACCAAGACCTTGTCCCAATAATAATAATAATAATAATAGTTTACCTTTAGAAAGGATGACTTCTCTTTAAATAACATACACTGTGATATCTGAAAATCGAAGCCCTTCATGGACCCTAACACTACTCGTTGTCACAGTTATATCTTTTAACTGTAGTCAATGACAAGTTGTGCTGAATATACTAAAAGGAACTACAGAAACAGATTCTGAGAAGTGTTGGGGGAAAAAAAGGTCATGTTAGTTGGTGGCTGCTACTACTTCTAAAAAAAGAAATATTCACTTATTTACTAAAGGAATTCGTTAAAGCAGCATTTATAAATAATTTTAATATGTGTAATACTAAAAATTAATTGAAACTAAAACTTTAGACAAGTGATATCCAATAGAACCTTTTCTAATAGTAGGATTACCTATGTATCTGTGTTGTCCAGAACAATAGCCACTAGTCATAGATGGTTACTGAGCACTTGAAAAGTGGCAAACACCACTGAGAAAAATTCAAATGTTAATATTAATTGATTTAAATTTAAATAGCCATATGTGGCTAGTGGCTAACATTTAGACATCAGAAATCTAAACAATGACTGCTGGAAATCTTCATATTGCCAGTCAAGGCCCATTTCAAAAAGTTAAAACTGTTGTTAAATTTTTATTTATATTTGCTTCAAATGTAAAAGAACGATCAAAAGCGAATTCTCCAAAAGTTTGATGGTATTTTCTTAATAAAAATGATTATAATCTGTAAACTTGTATTTGATATTCAGTTTATATATGTTTATCAGTACCTTTAAAAGTAGCTTGTAATTCTCATAGCAAGTATTTTCAAAGATTTGATTTGATTTCACGCTCCATCAAAATTCACATCTTTCATTCACTAATACTGTAAACTTATTAAACTAATATTTAACTGTCAAAGTGACAGTTTTAAATTTTGATTTCCAACAACAGAGTTAAAAACCAAGTACCAGTTGTTTTGTTAATGCAAAGATATTATTCCTAAAATAAAAATTAATCTAAATATCTTAGAATTCCTAATTAAGAATAGGTTAGCAAAAATTTTAGCACCAAAAAAACTGATGTGTGAAAGCAAAATAAAAATGTACATAATAATGTATTACTCAGAAAACTTTTATGTATCTATTGCTACATTTCATGTAAGTGTAACTAGCACTTTATTCCCTAGATTGTTAGATTATCATCAAACAAAAATACAACCAAATTGCTCCTGTATTTGTCCTATAGGAAAACATCAAGGACTGGTAAGAGAAATACACACCTTACACGATCTCAGAATTGAAATGTTAAGTATATTCTGAATTTATTAACATAACTAAACTGTGAAAACTGCAGAAATGTTAGATATTATTAGTAACTTGTAATAAATGCAACAGCCTTCAAAACAGAGATGGCTAGAGAAGTTGTCAAATTATATTACAGAAAGGCCCTCCCTCCTTTCCTTTTTCCCTTCCTTCTCCCTCCTCCCTACTTACCTCTTTCTTCCCTTCCTTCTACCCTTCCACTCTCTCTCCCTCCTTTTTTTTTTTTGAGACAGAGTCTCACTCTGTCACCCAGACTGGAGTGTAGCGGTGCAATGTCAGCTCATTGCAGCCTCAGCCTCCCACATTCAAGCAATTCTCTGCCTCAGCCTCCTGAGTAGCTGGGATTACAGGTGCCTGCCACCATTCCTAGCTAATTTTCATATTTGTAGTAAACACAAGGTTATATCATGTTGGTCTTCAACTCCCGACCTAAAGCGATCAGCCCACCTCAGCCCACCTCAGCCTCCCAAAGTGCTGAAATTACAGGCCTGAGCCACCACGTCTGGCCTTTTCTCAATTTTCTATACCTTTTTCATCTCTAGCACTATACAACTACAACCTATAATCAGAATGATGACCCAGTGGGGATTTCAAAATCTTAATTACTAAAGAAAAATGTATAACAGTGCTCAGACAAGAAAGTGTACTAATTTAGAGAATTTTATTCATGTAAGTTAAAGAAAAAAGGATTTTATGAATCTTTAAATGCAATAAATCTAGTAACATTCTGTACTCTAAATAATTCATGATTTACTTTTTTCTCCTCCACAAATTATCTTTTTTAGTCACCAAGAACTCAGGATCCCACACCTGGTTTATCTAAGCTGTTGGCCATGTTTTCTCCTGTATTTGGAGGACAGCCTTGACAGGTGCTTATATAAAACTTTAACAGGTGGTTCAAATATCATTCTTCTCAGTTAAGTAACACCTCAGTGCCCCCCCTATTTCTGTATTATGGGTGTCTCTTTGAGGAGCAGAGAACAACACTTAACTCAATTTGTAAATTTTATTCTTTTTGTAGTTGTAACACCAGTATAAAACTTTAATAACAGATCTATATCTGTTATTTCATGTACAGTAAAGATGCTCCATTCTAGTGCTGGAATTCCTACCAGCAGTTAATGGGAAGAAGAGGCAATAAAAAAAAATTTAATGAATAAATTATCAAGGATAATAAAGGAAAAAAATCTCTGTAAACTATTCCTAGAAGGGTTTGTGTTTTCTTTCCATCACAAAATAAAGACATATCCAAGGAATAAAAGGATATGATAATATTACTCAATTCTCTGTCAAATAATGTGTTTAGGAATATTCTTCAAACAATTGGAAAAGGCAACACAAGTTCCAATCAAATGAGTGCAGGTAGAAACATAACATTAATCTTCGAAAATTAAGAGATATTAACTATTTGAGCTACTCTAATAAATCAAGCACTTACCATTAGTATCCTACCAAACATGTCTTACAATTTAAGGCAGTGTGAAGATTGTATATTTTTAAAAACAGCAATGACAAAAGCCAATATAACATAAACTAAAAATAAGACAAAATGCATTTTAAATACTTTAAAGAAATACAAACAAAACAGAGCCTAGATCACACCATCACTAGCCTCTATTCCCTACAGAATTCTTCACCCACCTGTTAATATTCTTTACTAGCTTTTCACATCCCTAGCCCAACTTAAGAAGCCCCTAAGTTTTCCCCTCTCCTTCTTCTGGGCAGCAGAGCATAATTCAAGAAAAATCAAATAATCACATTTACTTATGCACTAAACATTACTGCTACATGGCCTCAGCAAGTCAGTTTGATTTTTCCACAGTAAGTTGTTATCAATCATCTGCTATCTTCTCAAGAGTCCATCTTCATCCCAGGTCTTTTCCCTCTCAATAGACTCCTGCTATTTCACTGAAATATCTAAGCCTGTCCAAGGTGAATTTACTCAACTTCCCTACCCTCCATCAATAATTATTTCTGTATCTGTATCCATCTTTTCTTTGCTGTCACATGTCTTAACCTGCCCAGCACAGCCCAATGACCTCTGGGATTGAGTGAACAAAAAACATCCAAATCTAGAACTAGTGTCTCCATGAAAACAGTACTGGTACTGGAAGAAAAGGCTGGATAGCGAGTGCTTAAAATAGGCATTCAAGTAGAAATGATATCTGAAAAGGCAACAGATTGTATATCAATTAAGATACAGTTTGCTTAAAGGGTATTCAGTAGTAATGGTATTATCACAGGTGTGCAGAACATAAAGACAGCAAAAATCAACTGGCCATTTAGAAATGTTATACCAGAGGGACCTGTGGAAGTTTAAGCACAGTCATCAAATAAGGGTCCAGTAACAGGCTGCTAGTGATCAAAGGAAATTTGATCACTAGAAACAAAGAGAAATTAAAGGACCTTTTCCCTAATAAAAGGACTAGTAAGAACAAGGTAGAGTCTAAAGCAGAAATCAGTCAGCAATATGCAAGTAAATGTCTAACACTTGATCCTCTGTGGGGAAAGCCCTACTATGTAGTATTTACTAATTTCTATAGTACAAATACTCCTAACCATGGCAATTTCAAATTACTAACATGGCATCACAGAATGTAGGATGGGAAAAGGGTGTATAGTAGCAACTATTATAGGTTGAGCATCCCAAATACAAAAATCCAAAATCTGAAGTGCTCCAAGATCCAAATATTTTTTGAACACCAACATTACAGTAAAAGAAAATGTTCATTGGAGTATTTCAGATTTCGGATTTTCAGATTTGGGATGCTCGACCAGTAAGTACAAGGCAAATATTCCAAAAAAAAACGAAAACAAAAACAGAAAATCCAAATCACTTCTGGTTCCAAGCATTTTAAATAAGCAATACTCAACCTGCACATCATTTTTTTTCAACCATCCAGATACAACAGACTTCAATAACTTCAAAAGCATAGGTAAAAGTAAAATGTAGCAAAAAAGTTACAAGTGTTAAGTTTTGAATATTTATTATCTGTAATGTAACTTCAAAAATAAATAGAACATGTTAAAAAGCAAAAACTAAAAACTCTCCCACATCTGAGGCACACTAAAGAAAAAATGTAATTCTCTGAATCTTGCACACTCCAGAATTAATACACCTAGTTAACTGCTAACCAAAGCTAGGTTGATCTTAGAGGCCAAAGGAAATGTGATCAGTAGAAACAAGGAGAAATTAAAGGCATCACTATGCTACAACATTAACTTCTACTTTTATTTTAAAACCACTAACACCAATGAAAAGGCTCCAAATTGCTTAGGCTCTTTTAGGAGGGCTCTCACTTAAACATTATTTCTTTTATTTTGTTTTTAATAATTTCAACTTTTATTTTAGATTTAGGAGGTACATGTGTAGGTTTGTTTCATGGGCATACTGCATGATACTAAGGTTTGGGATATGAATGATCCCTGTCACCTAGGTAATGAGTATAGTACCCCAGTTTTTCAACCCTTGATACCCTTCCTCTAGTAGGCACCACTTTTATATCCAAGAGTATCCTTCCTTCCCTCCCCAGTCTAGTAGGCCCCAACTTTATATCCATAAGTAACCAATATTTAGCTTCTACCTATAAGTGAGACCATGCAGAATCTGGTTTCCTGTATCTGGGTTAATTCACTGAGGATAATGGCCGTCATCTCCCTCCTTGTGGCTTGCAAAAACATGCTTTCTCTTTTTTTTTTTTTTTTTTTGAGTGCATAGGCTATGGACTTCCATCTGAAGTACATCCAGAAACTCTCACACACTGGAAACGAGACCTCTGAAGGCAGAGCAGTATTAGGAGGGTCCATAACCTCATTTAAGGAGAAAACTGCCTATTTCCATATAAGTTCATGGCAAAACATCCTGGCTCTGGAGACTACCAAACTAGCTTTCAACTTAAAAACCCAGCCAGGATGCTTATTAACATTGTTGGCATTTGAATATGCTACACCAGTTTCTGAAGCCTTTCAAAAGAACAGGCCAGTGTGAATATCTCAAAACAAATTGATAAAAGAACACTATAAAAAAGGAATCCTGTGAAAAGTGTGAACAAATTTCTGCTTCCTAATCAAATGAACAGAGGTAGTCTTAAGCAGTAAGACAATGAGGTTGAAATATATGCCTAATGTATTTGAGGAACACACACAACCTCTTGCAGAGATTACCATTTAAAAATTCAGGGTTCAGTCTTTCCTGAAACTGGAAAGGTTACTTGTAGAAAAAGAATATTCATGTTCATTCCAAAGTTTTCCATTTCCCATATTCTCCTTCCTATAAGAAATCACTCTATTGAAATTTGAACATCTGTCCCTTTTTTGGAGTAAAATTAAGAAAAGGATAAAACTCATTACAGATACCATAACCTTTATCATATATTTGTAGTGATTTGATATGCCTAATTAAAAAAAATTCAGAAATGTTTGTCAAATGTTTTTAGATTTCAAAGAATGGTAGAACTTAAATAGCACAAATACCAAGTAAAGCCTTTGGCACTAATCCAAAAATACTAAATTGCAAGTAAAACGATAAATATGATAGCAAATTTTAGATAAATTCATTCAATTTCAAAATAACAATAAGGCATTTGAGAAATTCTAACAATAAAACAAGAGAATTATAAACAATAGACACAATTCATGCCGTAAAGAACAATCTATTGCTAAGATAATAGCCACAATTAATGAAAACTTCATTTCTCAAAAAGCTGTTATAGATTTAGTCACGTTATAATAAATATTGATGACAGTGAATTTTAAAATGTGACAAATACTTTATTATGAATAAATATAATACTTCATCTTTTACTGCTGAAACTAAGAGTAAATCAATCCAAACATGTAAATCTCCTGATTTTACTCACCAGTAACTGTTTTTGGTCTTTCTTGGCATCCTTGTAAGAGGAGGATCCAGACATCCAAGGTGGTAATGTAGTTTACAGGTATCACACAATAAAAGAAGATGCTGATCATGGTTCTTCTTACAAATCCCACAACTTTTAATAAAGGTAGCAAATAAAGATTTCAATAATTGCCATAGTGAAACGCAGTTTACTTACAGCATATTTTTCAAACTATAAAATTTCATCTTGATTTAACTTAATATTTCTTCTGTTGAGATAGACAAAAAAACACACACACTGTACACACACACATACACACACACACACACACACACACGCACACCCCAATTGACAGTTATTACAAAGACTGCGGAGTTCTGTGATTGTTACTATTATTTTAGGACTTTTTAGTTTGTTTCTTAGAAATCTAACTTCTCTTGTGCAAAAAGGTAATTCAACCACACCTACATACATAAGTACCATTACCTGAAAATCTAAAGCATATTTATATTGAGAATATACAGAAGGCAATGATGGTTAGGCTTTTTTAACTCCTAGAAAAAATAGTTGTACACACACACACACGTAAAAAGCCTAAATAAATAAATAAATAAATAAATAAATAAATAGTGCCTGGTCTCAGTAAAAAAGAAAAATCACTTAAAATATATTCTGAAATGAAAATGAATTGTAGTCATAAAAGTCAGAAGCATAGTGATAATGTCTGATAGTTCCAAATGAACCAACAGTGCTTTCTGAAATAGGTGGCCTGAGAATATGCTAATGTTCACATTGCACACTAAGACAATGTGGGCTTTTCCCACATTTCAAGGAAGTTATTTGCTATTACTTGTAGAGGGAGCCTCCAACAAAAAACCAAAAGTAGTTATGGAGACTGATATTGCTGTTATTGCTACTATTTCTGAGAAAAAGGTTTTGAGAAGAACATTTATGTATTTACACATCCATAACATATATGTATGCATATACATAGATACATGTATATACACACATACATACACACACAGAAACACCAGCATCTTCTAAACTCTCACTTAATTAATATAAATTATGCAGGAAAAAGTGAGATCACAACCTATTTATTTATGGAAAGAAGTCCTTACTACAATAAAATTACTGTAATGGTGAACACTGAAAATACTGAGCAAAGAAATTAAAAGACAAAAATACTTAGGCAAACAAAGTGACTGCAACTGAGCAGCAAGAGAAAGAAATGTAGAAACTCCAATCAAAAACTTATCTTTATTATCCACTATCTACAAAGGCAAGAGATTCATTCTAAGTATATGATAACCATCACTATCTAAAATAGAAACTCTACAATTCATTCAAGTAAAATGAAAATACTCATCTGTTATATTATTTTAATTATTTAAGACAATAATCATAATATTATCTACGGTAATTTTTCAATTCCCCAAAGAGAACTGCTCATTTCCACAGAGTTTAGGCAGACATATCTGTCTAAACTTAAAGGACACAAAAAGCCATTTATCTTATTATAACAGCAACAAAAATCTCCTCTATCATTCAAACTGGAATGTACCTTTGATAAAATGAACTTCAAATGCACTTAAATTAAATTCGGGTATGCACATAATTCATTCTCAAATATTTGCAGTATCTTCTTTCTAATAAGTATCAGTTAAAAAAATACACAGTATTATTCTATCATTATTAATTTCATTACTTGCCTATAAAGTACTGCAGGAAGAGTAGATGTCTTTTGTGTGCCTCCTTCTTTTTTACTTGGTTTTCTCTCCTTGGGTGCTCGCAAAATTGCCGGTATATTCAACTTCTATTGATTTGAACAAATGTAGTATATATGGTTTTAAGGAAGAAATAAAAGCAACATTTTCCTCTAATTGCCACTCAAACCAACTAAATATAGTAGGATTATTAGGGGAAAATCTGCTTTACCAGTTACAGGTATTACATTGGCAAAAAGGATTAAAGTGAGCTTTTTTCTAATAGTTCTATTTCCATTACAAATCTATAATTACAGACTTTCATCAATTTTCCGTGGTAAACTAAAACATTATGAAAATTAAACTACTTTAGCTTTGACAGACAAAGACACATATGTAGGAGGTTTAAAAAAAAAAAAACAGTACACTTGACAAAAAGAATATTGAAGCAATTTATTTTCTTCAGCACCCCAGCTATACTGGTGTTCCATAGGTTAATTAGAAAAATTATCTTATTGGACTGAACTCTCCAACAAAGCAAGTGAGATTCTCTTTGCGTTTCTACTAATCTGTAGTATGCTGGCTTCTCAGACAGCAACCATCTATCAAAGTCACTTCTCAATGGCCTGGTGGGCCCACATCTGTTCAACCAACTGAAAAAAAGTATCATACAAACAATAGAAATGAATTCTACTTCTGCTGTGTATTTTACGTTTGCAAAAGGAAATTTGCAAACCTCTGTTAAAGGTCTTTTAATAAATGAAAATGACTTTTATAGTAGATAATATTTTACACTAAGCAGGAGATTCTTATGAGAGAAACTTGCAAATCAAGCCAAAAGATAATGCTAGCTTGGCAAATAAACTAAAGCCTTATATTCAATATTAACTCTCTAAATATTAAGTATAAAACACCATAATCTTCCAAAAATCCATCAACCAACCTATTAACAGGAACAAAGTCTGATCCTTCCAGAGGCAATTACTAATTCTCACCTCTTAAAATATTCTTTATGATATAAACCACAGCCATTCTGATCACATAAAGCATCATCAAAGCTAGTATAGCACAGTACAAATCAGTATGTAACACTTCATAAAATATCTATACAAGTTGTGTGATGAATTGGACTCTCCATAAACATCTAAAACAAGTGTGATAAAAAAATCTGTTCTTTGAAAAGTGCCTTCACAAATAAAACTACTTATTTGTTTGAAAGGACTACTAACAGTGGGTCTCTATCATCCTTCAAAAAAGAGTAATAAAAATTATTTGTAAAAAATCTTAATTTATCAATTATATACACAGTACTAAAAAAGGCATTCAAAGAAATCCATCTAACAATAATATTCTTTTCAACACCAAAATCTTTAATAGACTAATGGACTTCAAGAATAAAGTTTTTTTTTTCTTTTTTAGGAACTACGATCACAGCTACTGTTGAAGGGGAAAAAATGCATTTTAACGTTAAAGCTTTAAAAACCATCTCTTATACAGCTGAAAAGAAAATTAACGTAAAAACAAATTTCTCTAGTTTGCCTTTTACATTACAAATTATACATCCAAAGAATAGCAAAAAAAAAAAAAAAAAAAAAAAAAAAAAAAAAAGAAACAGCATAAGAATAGGGAAAAAAATGTGGCAAGGAATCTAAAGCTACTAAATTAAAAGAAGAATGTAGTAGGAAAGACTCATGCTTCAAATCTTAGCTTCATCACTAATAACAGGTCAATCAGTTAGAGCAAATGAAAAAAATCTGCACACAAGATAGCTGTAGAAACAACCAAATTAAACTAGAGGTTCTCAGTAGGCAGCTTCCAATGCTCTAGATGTGTTTCAAGCAGAAATCATTATCCCAAAGGATTAGGCCCTGATCAAACAGAATTCTTCAATTAGTAAAGCGACAGTTGTATCAAAAATCTATTCTTCAAAAATCATATAGAGAGCAAGAACTGAAGGAGATAGCAATTGGAAAGAAACTAACCTGCCCTGTGATTCTGCCTAGTAAGGCCCATATTCCTTGTCCTTCACTTCGAAGTTTTCCATTCAGGTTTTGAAGTTCTTCTAAAGATTCGCATAACTACAAAGTAAGTCAAATTAGTAAACTTCATTAAAATATCTGACAATTTAAGTAATTTATCAATAAATATCCAAGAATATCAAATTTCTATTCTCTCTCTCTCCACACACACACACACACACACACACACACACAGAGTTTTGTTTTGTTTGAGACAGAGTGTCACTCTGTCTCCAGGCTACAGTGTAGTGGCATGATCTCGGTACACTACAACCTCTGCCTCCTGGGTTCAAGCTATTCTCCTGCCTCAGCCTCCCAAGTAGCTGGGACTACAGGCGCTTGCCACCACGCCCAGCTAATTCTTGGATTTTTAGTAGAGATGGGGTTTCACCATGTTGGCCAGGGTGGTCTCCATCTCTTGACCTCATGATCCACCCACCTTAGCCTCCCAAAGTACTGGGATTACAGGTGTGAGCCACCGCGGCCAGCCTCCATATATTTTTAATATATTCAAGCCACAATACCACTGAGAGACAAGGCTATCCAATTACTCAGCAGTATTGGCAGCTGTAAGCATTTTGTTTTCTGCTGTTACCAATGATTACGTTTATATCTTCTGTTATAGTTTGCTATATAACATCACAGACATTCTGCTAATTAATCCTTATGACTCCATCAAGATGTATTTCTACTATTTTCCCAATGAAAAAAAATTAAGGATCATAGAGTTTTTGTGAGTTGGCCAAGATCACAGAACTAGCAAGAATCCCCAGGTCCTTTGAATCTAATTCCAGGTAGTCTTTTTACTACACAGTGTAGCTTACTATTGGAAACTTACTTCGTAATATTTTATGACTTAAAATGTTTTCTAACAATAAGTCAGTACCTGCTTTACGTGCTCAAGTTATACTTGGCATGACATTTTTACCACATTGTGCTTTTGTAAGATATTTCTTTTTGATCTTTCTCATCTTTAGGATGAAGAGATACATGAAAATTCAAATTCGGAAATTTTTTTATCCAAATATTAAAATATAATTCAAGAAAAATAATAAAGAAAAGTTTCTAAACTTTCTACAAACTTAGAAAGTGAAACTCTATAGTAATGTTTATTCGTTAGAAATAAAGAATAGAGTCAGATGAGTTGGCCTCACACCCCCATTTGGGACTTGACTACTTGTGTGAACCTGGGCAAATTATTTAACCTCTTCAGAATTCAGTTTCCATTGAAAATGGAAGCAATGACTATAATCTACATGTTAAGATGGGAATTAAGTGAGGTAATGCATGTAAAGAGATCATAATTATGCCTGGCACATAAAGTACTCAGTAAGAGACAGTGATGATAATGAATCTAATGAGGAGGAGGAGCTATAGGGAACAGCCTAAGAGCTCCAGAAGAATTTAAAAATAACACATAAAAAATGCCATACAATCACAAAAAAATCATCAGTAAGATCTATATTATGTTGCATATTTTGTAGCCAACTTACCTTATTATATTCCACATGAAGTTTTTCTTGCTCATTCTCTAATTTATCTTTTATATTTTTTTGTTCAGCCATATTTTCCTGAATTTGAATCATGCGCATATTTCTCTCTATTTGAATGAAATATCCAAATTTACTTTAGTAGAAGTAAGAGCTGACACAGGAAGAAACTAGCCATAGAGATGACCACATTGATAAACCTACATAGTTTAAAACTTTTAAGTATATTCACAAAGAAATGAACCTAGCATTTTGTAAAAACTCACAACATATTAGGAAAATAAACATTCTTCTATGATATATGTAACATGGCTAATACATTTCTAAAAATTAACAGTATTACCAAATATTTTCATTAACAAATTGTTCTCAGTAAAAGTGTGCATGTATCAGTGTCTATACTGACCAAAATAATAATTCACAAAATCTGCAGTGAGAGCTGGTTGCTTATGTTTTCTCCTTCCATCCACACTAGAACTAGTATCTGAATTGTCCACTGGAAAGATATCTGTACTGATCCCCATCAGTTCTGCTTTCCGCATAAGTTTACGAATAGCTGAAGCACTGCTGGTGAGTGGTCTGGGCAATTTTTCCCTTGGAACCCAGGCCTGGGGTCTGGTGGATCGAGCTAGCTCCGCTTTGGCACGATACTGCTGAAGTCGGGCATTGATCCTTGCCTATAAAAGAAATGTATTCATATTTTAAAAGATAATAAAATGGAACATATTCCTTATGATTTTTATATTGATTTTTACTCCCATGTTTACAGAAAGATAATCAAAACTTCTTATATCAAGGCAAATTAAATGTTTGAATGATCCTTACAGTATACTGTGTAATTCTTGAGTTACAATAAACTAGATCTACCCCTAGCAACAATTGTCCTAACTTATAATCAGAATTTTGAGAAACTAATTTCATTAAGCTGAAGTTTCTCTTCTTAATAGCTGCTACTGTTTCCAAAGATTTAATGTATATAAAATTATATTTTAAATATAGGCAAACTGACCAAATCCTTTGAATAGACTGAAACAAGATGTAGCAAACATATTGTACTGATAGAATAATTTCCTCACAGCCACATTTTTCAATGTGAAATTATACTTCATAAAGGAGTGCTCTGTTAACTAAATGAGGAATACTGTATTCAGCCAAAAATTATACTCATTATTAACCTTAATCACAATCCACCTACTAGACAACTAAACAAGCTTCTTATTATACTTCAGATGTCACTGGAAAACACACATGAGATGTAAAATCCATACATAACCTTAAAAGAAAAACATATGGGTTTTGACATGAATCCTATACCTGTGCTTCTGGTGATAGTTGCTTCTCTCTCTCTTGCAAAGACATTTTACAATAGGATTGTAGAGCCAAGTAGTTTTTTCTCTTCCACTTTCTGTCTAATCTATCTGCATGTTGTTTACAATAAGCAAAGAACGGATCTGCTATGTCCTATACAAAAAAAGCAGAGAAAAATAGTTAACATTTGTACGAGTCATGAAAAACCTAACACAAAAGAATATTACTTCCTTTTCAAAGAATCTACTAGTGCTAGTTATGTCTAATAAATTACAAAAATAATTTTTATACATAATGATAAAAATTACTGCTTTAGAAACTTGATCTTGTGTATCGACTTCAAATTACCAACAGCTTTTTTTTTTTTTTTTTTTTTTAAGGGCTTGTGTGTTTAAAGGACCGAAATCAAATATATTGTATTATTTGGGTGTACTTATATAGCAGCCCTTCAATATTCACAGCAGATTGGTTCCAGGACTCCCCAAGGATACCAAAATCTGTGTATGATCAAGTGTCTTATGTTAAATGGTATGGCATTTGCATCTAGTCTACATACATTCTCCCAAATATTTTAAGTAATCTCTACATTACTTATAATACCTAACATACAAATGTAAATGTTGTACAAATAGTTGTTATACAGTATTAGTTTTTTATTTATAATTTTTATTATGCTTCTTTTCCCCAAATATTTTCAATCTGCAGTTGGCTGAATCTAAGAATGTGGAATCCGTTGACCATGAAGGGCTGGCTATATTTTTCAAAAGATCACTGTTTAAAACAAATAGGATTTTAATAATCTTAGGTAGAAATAATCATTAAATATTAAAGTTATGCATACATAGACTAATATTGCAAACAACAATATTGGACTAGCCAACAAGATAAGTGTGGCATTTCCAACTGGCTAACAATGGACAGATTCTACAGAGGATAAAAACAGATTAAGGGCCAGGAGTGGTAGTTCATGCCTGTAATCCCAGCACTTTGGGAGACCAAGGCAAGCAGATCACTTGAGGTTGGGAATTCAAAACTAGCCTGGCCAACATAGCAAAATCCACTCTCTACTAAAACTACAAAAATTAGCCGGGCACAGTGGCATGCGCCTGTAATTCCAGCTACACGGTAGGCTGAGGCAAGAGAATCACTTTAACACAGGAGGCAGATGTTGTAGTGAGCTGGGGTCATACCACTGCACTCTGGCCTTAGTGACAGAGTGAGACTCTGTCAAAAAAAAAACCAAAAAACACATAGAAGAAGTCCAAGCCCTGTCAATTAAAAAATTTACGTTATATCCTTTAACTCACTTTCCCTAACAACTCAAATGGAATCACAGCTCTATCATGGTGTAATAGTACATTTTTCAGTCATAAAAAGTAGTACACAAAAAGAGGATTTATTCTATCAAAAACAATTTGTAAAGACGTAGTCCAAAAAAGTTAATTTTCAGTGTAATTGCTAAAAAACAACAAGCTGTTCATTCTTTATGTCTGTCCCAAGGAGGAACAGTAAACATAGGCTATTAGTTTTTCTCTAAGTTATGTCAAAAGTGTCTCTTAGTAAAGCAGAGTTTTACAACGCAAAGAGAAATGACACACTACCAAGGAGAGACATATAATAGGAAGAAAAAGAAATCTAATGTGTCTTTAGTATTAAAATATATATATATATGAGGCAATTCTGTAGTGTGATATCAATAGATGTCACAGTATAGCAGTGTGTATCACAGAATTTGGAGATATAAAAACCAGGATATAAATCTTGGCTCTACCATTTACTGGCTATGGGACTTCAAAAAGTTGCTTAACATCTCTGGGCCTTAGTTACCTCATCAGTAAAACGGCATTTACTTATAATTACTTCATATAGTTTTAAAAATAAAATACAGAAAATTTAGGAGACTACATTAACACATACAAACATCTGCTTTCTCATGACATGCTCTAAATCTTGGTGACAGACATGTTTAATGGAAATAAAGATTATACTGAACCTCAGCCCAAATGCCCAGATCTAGATAATTATTCTAGTGTTTCAAAGTAAATGAGGTTGAAATCGAGTTATCAGAGATAGGTCCATGCTTATGTAGATGAGTTAAGCATTTAGACCAAGACTGGTTTAAGAAAAACATCAATACTTACTATGGCAGAAACTACTAACTGTCTTACAATATCTTTTCTTCCCATTAGTACCAGAACCCTGTGAGTTTTTACCCGGCACATGGCTACTCCCTAAAAACTATCTGATCCAGCCTCCTCACAGCTAGATGTGGCCATGTGATTAAGTTCTGGCCAATGAGTTGTATGAAATTCCCAGACCATGCACTTGAAAAGTAGCTGTCTACTCTTAACTTCCTCTTTCCTGCTTCCAGTGAGGTAGAATCCAGTCTAGATGGTAATAAACCATCTTTGACTGTGTAGGAGAGTGCAACAAACTAAAGAAAAGTGAAGCAAGAAGAAGGGAACTTTAATCCTGGAACCAAACTCCCCTCAGTATCCAGTCAGCCTGGAATCGTATATTAGAGTGAATTTAACTTCTTCCTCGTTTAAGCAACTCGTTATTTGGTTTTTTTAAACCAGTCAAAATAGTAACCTAATTAATACATAGGTTGACATGGAATATACCTTCAACCTGCTTAGAGAAAGGGAGCTTTCAAAATCCTACTCCCAATGGAAAACTGAAAGAGAAAAACAGGTTTCTGAATATTTACCATGAAATAAGCACATGTACTTTTTTATATACTAGCTCTTTAACCTTCACCACTACCACAGGAGGTGGGTTCTACCATTTTAATGACAATTTTATGTATAGAAAACTGAAAACCAGAAAGGTTAAGTTGCTGAACCAAGACCTATATCCAGTACGTAAGTTCCATCTTCCGTAACCACTACCTGACTGTCATCAGATTCATTTAAGGAGGTTTCTACATAGAGGTTACTAAAGCCCAACTCTGCAAATTCTGATTCAGCAGATCTAAGGCAAGGGCCTTAAATGCAAATGTCTTGAGAAGCAGTAACAGGCAATGGAGGTGGGTGAAGGAGACCTAAAAGATGCCAGAAAAATATAAGACAAAAATGAATGATGAGGGGCAGTTAGTAAATGGTGGGGCCTGTGAGAACTTAGAGCCTATGGCAAACTGGAATGCCCCATAAAGGCATTCAAATTCAAGGCTGTCCTTTTTAACCCTATTTCTAACCAACAAAATGCACCTATGGATTAAGTCTAGCTTCTGGGCTTCTAGATGGCATGATTTGGTCTAGAATCTTAAAATACTTTTTTTTTTTTTTTAAACAAAACTCCCTGGGTAAAACTGACATAGCAGATCAAAGTTATATAAACTGAAAGAAGACACTTCAGTCTTGTACATTCAGAACCACCTCCCACTTGTAAAAACAGTATATTTGAAGACATATGCTTTATTGGTATCTTAATAATAAAATCAATGTGTCTACTAAAACCAGAAACATTTAAATACAATAATAACTTAATGGCCTATCAAACTTACCTTTTCAATTATGAACTATCAATATTCTTATTCACCCCACAGATATTTTCATTCAAATTCAGAATGAAACCTTGAACTTCTGGGGTCAGCATACTCCTGCCTCAACCTCCTGAGCAGTTAGGACTATAGGCACACACCACCACATCTGGGTAATTTTTACATTCTTTGTAGAGATGGGGTCTTGCTATGTTGCCCAGGCTCATCTCAAAATCCTGGCCTCAAGAGATCCTCCTTGGCTTGGCCTCTCAAAGTATTGGGATTACGGGTATGTGCCACTGCACCTGGTTTTATGTTGTTTCAAATATAATTTTCTATATAACAGAGTATAGCAATGTCCAATAGTACCAAATTATACCTTAATAACAGAAGAAACTACCATATGGCTTACTTGGACTATAAGCAACTTCAGACTATATAATGTAAAACAGTAACATAAGTTTTAGTCAGCATAACTGAGCCTATGCAATAGCTCAGTTTTTTTTTTTTTTTTTAATTTATTTATTTAAACTTTTTAAAGGTAGGGTCTCTCTCTGTTCCCCAGGCTGAGTGCAGTGGTAAGAACATAGCTCAATGCAGCCTCGAATTCCCGGGTATATGTGATCCTCCTGCCTCAGCCTCTCCAGTAGCTGAGACTACAAGCACCATCACATCCAGCTAATTTTTTTTTTTTAAGAGATGGGGTCTTGCTATGCTGCCCAAGCTGGTCTCAAACTCCTGGCCTCAAGCAATCCTCTGGCCTTGGCCTCCCAAAGTATTGGGATTAAAGGCATTAGCCACTGCACCCAGTCCTACAGCTCAGTTTTAAAAACAAGATGTTGTATCATAACATGGTTTTAAATATCCTTCTAATAAAGCATGTTGTGTCATAACATGCTTTGACTATTCTAAATAAATCCGGAATATCCACAAAGGAGATGAAAAAGAATAGAAACTTCATATGGATTCTCACCAATGAGATAAAGCACTATGTCAGAAAGCTATAAAAAGTCATAAAAAATACAGAAAGGTATACAATGTCATTAGATGAAACTGAGATGTTTATTCTATTTTTCAACCTTTTTTTTTACAGCCTACATAAAACAACCATGAAAAAGTAGTAAATTCAACTTGATATAATCTTTAAAAAAGTTTCCTAGAATGCCTAAAGAGAATAAAATGGAAATAGAAGGCAAGATATGCTCACAAACATAGATCTATTTTAGTTTAAAATGTGTTTCTTAATTTTAAAAGCTATTACATTACATAAATCCTCATATACACAAGTACAACCATCTAGAAATAGAGAAGACCTTCATTTTAACAGAATGATTACTGTCAAATGCAAACTTCATTAATATTGATTCATGTAATATCCTGGGTTTTGAACCATTGTTCAGAAAACATTTAGAATTTTCTAATTCTCTGCTTATAACAAGAAACCAGGAACATATATACATAAATATGCTTTAAGTCATTTCCCCCCAAAACAACAGCACACTGAGCAAGGTAGTGAATAGGAAGAAAAGTTCCACTTTATTATTCCAGCATCCAGGGCTCCCACCTAATTAATCAAGAGACATAGCAAGGCAAGGAAGATGCCTCAGGGCCAGTTCTCACATCCTAATGTATGTTTCTCTATACATTTCCCCAAATTAGCTCATGGATAAGATATGCAGACCACAAACTGTAAACTATTTAGCTTAATATTATATTTAGTTTCACTTAATCTGCATGCCTTTAGATGAAGATGTCTCTCCAAATCCCACAAACTCCATTATACTCCACTGTCCCGTATGTGGCTGTTTCACACATTTTTGTTAATTAACTGCTATCTTTCCAAAAATGATGGTGTATGATGCTGTGCAAAGGAATCCAAACTACCATAGTAAAAAAGAAAGCTATCTACTAGCTGCAAAGGAACTCTACTGACCACAAAGCTCAATGTTTTCCAAAAATAGACAACTAACTAAGCTTTCCCTATAGATTCCCTAATCCAAGTAATTACCTAGTATGTATCTGGTCCTTTAAGTCTTACCTGTATTGCCCTCTTGTACTTCTGTCCACCATCCTGAGTTGTAGCTATGAGGAATCCATACTACCCTACTGTATAATTATAACTCTATGTCTACCTAGTAGCTGAGAAGATGCTCACTGTTCATCTAGTAGCCTTCATCAAAGTACAACTCCTCAAAATCAGGAGGCTGAAACAGCTATATAAATGAAGAGACTGGAACAGCTATATCTGTCAAAAACAGCTGCATGTATCAAAAATACAACTTCTGTAAGATCTGTTTATTCATAAAATACATCCTTCAAATTTTTTTTTACAAATTTTCTTCATCAGAGTATCTTTGCTTGTTTTCTGGAAATGAAATAAATGTACTAAGATAAAATCCCACGACAACAAACAAAATTTACCCAATAAAAGAAAGAAAAAAAAAAAAAAAAAAAAAAAAAACAAGGAGAGGCTTAGATTACTACCATAAAGCCATCATGAATATACAATAAAAATTACTAAATAAACACTCATTACTATACGAACTTTAAGAATCAACTGAACCTGCTAACAATTCCTTAACATTCTTAAAAATTACTGAGGACTCTAAAGAGTTTATGTGAGTTCCATTTTAGTGAGTTATGTGAGTTTAGTGAGTTTATGTGAGTTCCATGTGAGTTTATGTGTTACATTTACAACTCACATAGTAGTTACCATATGTGAGTTATATTTTAGAAAGTTACACATTAGAAATTAAAATTGGACTTTTTTGCAATATGCATTAATTTAATTTAAATAATGGGCCCATTACAGAAGTATACTCTTCTACTAAAATAAATATAATTCACACACACAAAAAATTTAAGTGATGAGAGTAGCATTGTTTTACATTTTTGCAAATATCTTTAATGCCTGGATAACTGACATAAAAAAAAGGTAGCCGGATTCTCAAAATTGTTTCTATATTCAATGGGTTCTACTGTATGTAATCTCTGGAAGTCTCCACTAATACTTGTGAAAGAACAGAGTTCAGAAAAGTAAGTAACATTTTTATAGTGTAATGAAAATAGTTTTAAACTCAAACTACTTGTACGAATCTTAACAAGTCCCCCAAACATTGAATACAACTGACTGTTTAATGTAAAGCCAATAGATCTGAAAGGAATATTATGGAATTAAAAATAACAGTAAAGAGAGTAACAGAGATACCGAAGACACAGTAATGATTTTACTTAAAGAAATATAGTGCAAGGTTACTCAAATACAGTTTCAGATTCTCATATAAAATATGCTATTTTTTAAACTACAATGGATGAGGCTGAAATGCTGACATTTTAATGATTTAAGACAACTTGGATTTTCTTTCATGTTATCTATCAGATCTCACTATAAAAATTTTAATATTTTCCAAATGTCTGACTAGCTTTAAGACCGAAAAAACTCAAAGATATTTACTCTTAAAGTTTTACAACAGTGGTCTTGCAACAACTTGAAGAATAAACGTTAAAATTTATTTTATTATTTATACCTGTTACAGGATAATAGAATCAAAAGATGTCTTGTGAACATGTTCAACAATTATGGGTTTAAATAAACCTACCTCTTCTGCTGCTGCCTCTGAAAGCAGGCCTTCCTTCTGAGCACAGGTCACATGGAAATAGGCTCTGCACATCCCTGCATCACAGCTAATGCAAACTCCAGTTCTAGCAAAGCGAGGGTCTTCACAAAAGCTACACTCCTGCAACAAAATACAGAAAAATTCTCAAAGCAAACATTTCCAGACTAAAGACTGCATTCTCATACAAAGAATTCACTAAATATTAAAATGCTAAATAAAAATAGTGACCCAATTATGTACCAATACAAACAATAATTGTAGGCAAGCCAAGAGTTTATATGAAAAAAGGTAATTTTACCTATATGGTTCTAATAAATCAAAATTCAACTAATTTAATGATAATAACAAATAATAATACAAACATAATTAAAATTATTCGAGGACTTACTATGTGCCAGTCACTATTCTAAGCTCTATACACATACAGAGAGTCCCCAGTTTACAATGGCTCCACTTCTAATTTTTTGACCTTACAATATTGCAAAAGCGATACGCACTCAGCAGAAACCACACTTTCAGTACCCATACAACCATTCTGTTTTCCATTTTCAGTACAGTATTCAATAAATTACATGAGATAGTTAACATTTTATTATAAAATAAAGTTTTGTGTTAGATGACTATGTTCAAGTGTAGACTAATGTTAAGTGTTCCAAGCACATTTAAGGTAAGCTGCACTAAGCTATGATCAGCAGGTTAGGTGTATTAAATTAACTTCACCTTAAAATATTTTGAACCTGCAATGGATTTATCAGGATGTAAACCCATTACAACTCAAGGACTATGTATATAAATATATATAATCATTAAATACAACTACTACGAAGAAGAGGTACTATAACTATTCTCATTTTACACATGAGAAAACTGAGGTAAAGACAAGAAATCTGCTTGCCAAAAATAAGAAAGAAAGTAAATGAAAGGCTTCAAACCAGGTCGGTCTTACTTTAAACCCACCATTAAGCTACACTAATTCTTAAACAATTATAAAATTGCTTGGTAAATGAAACAAGAGACCAGAGAAAATCCAATAAATAACCTAGGCATTGCAACCTAGAAATCATACATGTTTTAAATATCTTTAAGACAACTAAAAGTAATTTTAGGTAAACAATTCAGTGCAACTAGTAGTGATATACCATACAGCCAATTATTTACATTCTTTTCTGTATAAAAAGGGAAAATTTGTAAAACCAAGGTATGAACTGTTGAAATTACTCCAAATCCTATCAGATTTACTTTTTTATTCTTTTAACTATCTCTTAAAAGGGTGGAAAAGCTAGTCTAAAAATTTAAACAACTCTGGTAACAGAAATCTTCATAAAAGAAAAACATTAAATTATGAAAGACTGACAGTGGACAATTAAAAAATTGTTTAAGTATTCAAAGTGAACTACATAAAAGGAAACAAATAAAAGGAAAATTTAAAAATTTCAGTAGTCAAATCCTGACATTCTACTGCCTAGTTAAAAGAATTTCTTCAGTAACAGTAGAACACAGAAGGTGTAATATACTGGCAAACAGCAATCTAAATATGAGATTAAGAGAAAGAGAAACAGAAATTAAATTATTTAAAGGATGTCAACACTGTGAACAGAGACATATTGTTTAGGATAATTCTCTGAGCAGGTAATTTCATGTAATATGTTAAAATTACACAAAGGATTTCAGAGTGAATACAAGGAAAAATTTCCTGACAGTCATATTAGACTATAAAACAATCTATCAAATACAACACAATCTTCCTCAATTGCCTGAATCATTTAAAATGCTGGTGAACTAAGCAACTGAGAACACAGAGGGAGAACATAATTCAGATTGTAAAATGAATAGACAATGTGGTCTAGAAGGCTATCCCAGTCATAATTCACAACATTGTATCTGATTTTGCAGAGGAGCCAGAGAGTACCTAATTTTCAACTCCATTTCCCAGTAATATACTCGTAAAGCAAAATAAACAAGAGGAAATTAGCCTGGACCTGTTTCTGTACACAGAACCTTACACAAGCGAAATTTAATTTAGAAAAATTTCTTGTAATAAACCAAATTTTAAAAAACAAAACAAAACAAAAATATCAAAAAACAAGCTTCAACCAACCACAACAGCCAACTAGACATTAGACAATGTAACTGGAAACTTTCTACTAAATCATACCTGTATAGAAAAAAAAAAATACACAGCTGTAGCCATTTAAGTAATTTCTTTACTTTGGTTCCACATTCAGCCAATAAAAGCCCGCTGCTCACGCTATTAAAGTGGGCATCTCTTTTTTTTTTTTTTTGCAACAGAGTCTCACTCTCTCACCAAGCTGGAGTGTAGTGACACAATCTCAGCTCACTGGAATCTCTGCCTCCTGGGTTCAAGCAATTCTCCTGATGCAGTCTCCCGAGTAGCGGAGACTACAGGTGCCCACCACCATGCCCAGTCAATTTTTATATTTTTAGTAGAGATGGGATTTCACCATGTTGGCCAGGATGGTCTCGATCTCTTGACCTCGTAATCTCCCCACTTTGACCTTACAAAGTGTTGGGATTACAGGCGTGAGCCACGGTACCCAGCCAAGTGAACATCTCTGAACCTTTTCTAGTTGTAAGTGCTGCCCGATAAATACTATCTGTTAATGCTCAAATAACCTCTGTTAAATTTACAGTGATACATCAGAGAGAATGCAAAGTTCAGCTCCGGACCACTGTAATAAGATGAGTATCACAATAAAACAAGTCATAAAAATTTTTTAGTTTCTCCATGCATTTTCAAGTTAGGCTTACACTATCTGTGGTTTAATAAATGTATAACATTAGGTATTTTTTAAATGTATGTACATTAATTTAAAAATACTCTTTTGCTAAAAAATGCTAATGATCACCTGAGCCTTCAACAAGACATAATCTTTTTGCTGGTGAAAGATGTTGCTTTGATGTGGATGGCCACTGACTAACGGTGGTGGTGGTCGCTGAAAGTCAGGGTGGCTGTGGCAATTTCTTTTCTTTTTTTGTTTTTCTTTTGTTTTGTCTTTTTAGATGGAGTCTCACTCTGTCACCCAGGCTGGAGTGCAGTGGTGCAATCTCGGCTCACTGCAACTTTTGTCTCCCAGGTTCAATCGATTCTCCTGCCTCGGCTTCCCAAGTAGCTGGGATTACATGTGTGTGCCACCACACCCAGCGAATTTTTGTATTTTTAGTAGAGACGGGGTTTTGCCATGTTGGCCAGTCTGATCTCAAACTCCTGATCTCAGGTGATCCGCCTACCTCGGCCTCCTGAAGTGTTGGGATTACAAGCATGAGTCACCACGCCTGGCATGACAATTTCTTAAAATAAAACAACAATGAAGTTTGCTGCAAAGATTTTTTCTTCCTTTTATGAAAGATTTCTTTGTTGCATGTGATGCTGTTTGAAAGCATTTTAACAAGGGTAGGACATCCTTCAAAATTGGAGTCAATCCTCTCAAACCTTTCTGCTGCTTAATCAATACAGTTTATGTAACATCCCAAGTCTTTTGCTGTAATTTCAACAATGTTCATAGCATCTTTACCAGGAGTAGACTCAAGAAACAACTTTCTTCGTTCATCCATGAGAAGTAACTCCTCATCTGTTCAAATTTTATCATAAGATTGCAGCAATCCAGTCATCTCTGGCTACACTTCTAATTCCAGTTCTCTTGCTATTTCTTCCACATCAGCAGTAACTTCCTCCACTGAAGTCTTCAATCCCTCATCAGCAGTAACTTCCTCCACTGAAGTCTTCAATCCCTCAAAGGTATTCATGAGGGCTGCAATCAACTTCTTCCAAACTCCTGTTAATATGGATATGTTGACTTCCTCCCAAGAATCACAAATATTCTTAATGACATCTAGAAAAGTGAGTCCTTTGTAGAAGGTTTTCAATTTAGTTTACCCACACAATCAGAGGAATCACTATGTATGGCAGCTATAGCCTTATGAAATGTATTTCTTAAATAGTAAGACTTTAAAGTCTAAATGACTTCTTGATCTATGGACTTCAGAATGGCTGTCACGATAGCAGGCATGAAAACACATTAATCTCCCTGTACTTCATCAGAGCTCTTGGGTGGCCAGGTGCACTGTCAATAAGCAGCACTCTTTTGAAAGGAATCTTTTTTTCTAAGCAGTAGGTCCCAACAAGGGGCTTAATATTCAGTAAACCATTCTGTACACAAATGTGCTGTCATCCATGCTTTGTTCTTCCATTTACAGAGCACAGGCAGAGTAGATTTAACATAATTCTTAAGGGCTCTAGGATTTTCACAATAGTAAAGGAGCACTGCCTTCAACTTAAAGTCACCAGTTGTACTGGCCCCTAAAGAAGAGAGACAGCCTACCCTTTGAAGCCAGAAAGTGACTTATCCTCTCTAGCTATTGAAGTCCTTGATGGCATCTTCTTCCAAAAGAAGGCTGTTTCACCTACATTGAAAATCTTTGTTGAGTGTAGCAATCTTCATCATTTGTCTCAGCTAAATCTTCTGGATAACTTGCTGCAGCTTCTCCATCACTACCTGCTACATCATCTTCATCTTTTATATTATGGAGATGGCTTCTTTCCTTAAACCTCATGAACCAATCTCTGCTACCTTCCAACTTTTGTTGTGAAGCTTCCTCATCCCTCAGCCTTCACAATATTGAACAGTTAGGGCTATGCTCTGGATGAGGTTTTGGCTAAAGGGAATGTTGTGGCTGCTATGATCTATCCAAACTACCAAAATTTTCTCCATATCAGAAACAAGGCTATTTTACTTTCTTATCATTCGTGTGTTCGCTGGAGCAGCACTTTTAATTTCCTTCAAGAACCTTTCCTTTGCATTGACATATTGGGTATTTGGCCGAAGAGGCCAAGCTTTTGGCCTAGCTAGGCTTTTGATATGCCTTCCTCACTAAGCTTAATCATTTCTAGCTTTTAATTTAAAGTGAGAAATGTATGACTAGTCCTTTCACTTGAACAATTAGAAGCCATTGTAAAATTATTAATTGGCCAAATTTCTTTTTCTTTTTTTTTTTTTTGAGATGGAGTCTCACTTTGTTGCTCAGGCCAGAGTGCTGTGGCACGATCACAGCTTACTGCAACCTCCACCTTCCAGGTTCAAGTGATTCTCCTGCCTCAGCCTCATGAGTAGCTGGGATTTCAGGCAGGCACCACCACGCTCAGTTAATTTTTTGTATTTTTAGTAGAGATGGGGTTTTACCATGTTGGCTACGGTGGTCTCAAACTCCTGACCTCAGGTGATCTGCCCACCTCAGCCTCCAAAAGTGCTAGGATAATAGGTGTGAGCCACTGCACCCATCCCTAATTAGCCAAATTTCAATATCACTGTATCTCAGTGAACAGAGAGGCCTCCAAGTCACGGAGAAAGATAGGAGAACATTAGGTTGGTGAAGCAGTCAGAACACACGTAACACTTATTAAATAAGTTCACCATCTTAAAAGAGCGTGTTAACAGCACAACAAAACAATTACAATAACAGCATCAAAGGTCACTTCTAATATTCGTTTTCATAATTTTGACAAATTCCACTTCAAAAGTAAAGTCAGAAATTAGGCTTATATTTGATCCAACTAATTGTAAATATGGTTTTGGTCTACATGTTAGGCATAGTGAACAGTGCAAGGGAAATGGTAGTAGTGCCAATTATCATTTTACCTCATATATGATTCTAAATTAAGAATGTATAGAAGAATTTATACATTATTGGCTTTCTAGGAAAACTATCAATCATAAATGATTTAGTGCTAAATGGAATAATTCCTACTAAGCATTTCTGCAGTCAACAATAATACAAATAAAAAGCATGTAAACGAACAAGTATAAACTTTATCTTTTAAGCAATCAAAAATGTTGTGTCTTACCTTGGCACCATATTTGGAATAGTTCATTTCTGTTAGTGTTACTGGTCGTAATTTGTCAATATCTCCAAAAGCTACCCCAGGAACATACAGGGCACAAACAATATGAACCCATCTAAGGAGAGAAGATACAATTTTTCTATCAAATATTTTCATAAAATTCCCACACAAAAAACAAATATATAAAACACATGCCATCTCAAAACACTACTGAGAGAATTCTGTGATCAAATGTTATAATCTCCTAATCTCAGACACATCATTAAAAAATATGAAATACCTACAGAATAACACTTAGTTACAAAAAAGGGGACTGAAATTACTTTTCCAGCAGCTTAGCCAAAACTGAGAGTTAACAACTATAATTGTCTTTCATTTAAAATTCACTCACTGCGCTTTGCACTTATCTACTATTCTTAAATATTTACATAAAACTACTATTCAAATGAAACAAAACATCATTTTCATATGCAAGGAAAAGTAGTCACATTCATTATTTTAAGGCCTTTGAGAATTAAGGATCCTAATTTAATAACTATGAAGTCATTCTGCTGTAATTAAGTAAAATTTCTCTTTCTTGTTTCTCTTTTCCAAAAGCTGCTGGGATAATCTTTAAGGACATATTTTACAACAATTTTTGTATACAGTTTTAACTTATTTTCCAGGTTAAAACTTCTGGGAAAACATACAGAATAAGTAAGTCACATTTTCATTCAACTTATTTGTTTACCATACATCCTACATACTAAAATTTATATGCCCCAAATATAAATATTTGTTGAACTCTGAATAATGCTATAAGACTAAATAAAGAATGCTCACAGTTTCAGTACACTGAAAAAAAATTGGAGCTCTTTCTAATTTGATTTTTTAAAAACTACTCTGAGCCATTTTTAATACATTAGGCACCGTTTCAGCTTGCTTACAACAAAACAAAATGTGGGATTACTAACTTCAAAATTTAAACAGTAGATCTTATCACTTTTTTAAGAAAGAGGGTAAAAATAAGACAGCAAATCTCAATTAACCCTGGGACTAGATTAACAACAAATTTTGCTTTATCACAATTTAAGAGGCTATGCCATGCTATATGGTTCTGGTTTTGCGGTGCATTGTGAGTTTTAAAGGACTAAGACTAAAAATCATTCTACTGAGGCACTGGGAAAAATAGTTCCAACTTTTTAAAAATCTTCTTTTTTATTGGAGAAAAAAGCCAAGGTTCTGAGATTTTCTTGATAGAACGTTTTAATCCAACCTCCCAAATGCATCCTGTGGAGTTCAATATAAAGATACACATCTTTGACAAGCAGCTGCTTCCTCAATTTAATTTCTTCAGTTTTTTCATGCTCCACTGATGTATTAAATGTCGCTATACTCTGTAGCAGTTTATCTTTGATAAACCTAACAGCTGGCTGCTTGCTTCCTACTGACCTTCTTAAAATGTAGTACACAAGTACTACAGATTTAAACTGCCATTTCAGTTTGACTGGCACACAAGTATATCATTTCTCCCAACCACTCATGTGAGGATACCAATTTGAATCCTTATTACAACACCTATCAAAGTCAATGAAAATCATGGCCAAGACCATTATGGTACCTTTTAATGCCAGCTGTAAATAGTTTTTTGTTCATTTTTTTAGATGCACACAATTTATAACTTTATAATTAAGATAAATCTGAAAATTAAAAAAAAATAATAATCTTCCTTGTTACTTTACCATTGATTTTTCTTGGAGCTATTATGACAGATATTGATTGGGGGAAAAGAACAGGAAACAAGCACCACATAAAGCCACGAAAAAACAGAGTCAGAACTGTCATCCTAGCACAAACTATTAACAGATTATTTTAAATTCATATATTTTAATAAAGCAGACTAAGCAGAATACTTCTCAAAAGACTCATTTAAGATTGAAAACTATATTAATCAATAAAATTGGAGTCTGAAGTGCTGCTCTGTTATCAGTAAGCCTTTACAGCACATGTAAAACAAATTCATGTCAAGTATGTTATTTTCATTCCTTCATTCAGTAATCAATTATAAGTGTATGCTAGAGGTAGGGCACCATAAAGGTAGTTATAAAGATGTATGTGAAGTGCTTACAGCAGAGTGTGGCTCAATGTCCTCACTCAAGAAATGTTAACTACAAGGAAAAAAAAAAGCCTAAAAGCTTTTGTTGAATTCAGATTTTTCATTTGCATATGAAGAATTAGTTTCAGAAAGATTAACTGATTCCAAATATAACAAGGCTAGCAAGGGACAGAACTAAGACTTACTAAGTCTAGAAATTTAAAGGAAAAAAAGAAAGAACTGGTCAGGCACAGTTCCTCATGCCTGTACTCCTAGAACTTCGGGAGGCTGAGGCAGGAGGATCACTTAAGCTCAGGAGTTCAAGACCAACCAGTCTAGGCAACATGGCGAAACCATATCTCTACAAAAAATACAAAAATTAGGCAGGTGTCATGGCAGGCCCTTGTAGTCCCAGCTGCTTGGGAGACTGAGGTAGGATTGCTTGAGCTTAGGAGTGGAGGTTTACAATGAGCCAACATCATGCCACTGCACTCCAGTCTGGGTAACAAAGCCAGACCTGTCTCAAGAAAAATAAAAAGAAAAAACTGGCCAGGTACAGTGGCTCAGGCCTGTAGTCCTAACACTTTGGGAGGGTGAGATGGAAGGACTGCTTGAGCCCAGGAGTTCAAGACCAGCCTGGGCAACAGGCTAAATAAAACCTTGTCTCTACAGAAAAATACAAACATTAGCTGGGTGTGGTGGTACACCCGAGCTACTCGGGAGTCTTCAGTGGGAGGATCACTTGAGCCCAGGTGGCAGAGGTTGCAGTGAGCCAATATTGTGCCACTGCACTTTAGCCTGGGCAACACAGCCAGACTCTGTCTCAAGGAAAAAAAAAAAGAAAGAAAGAACTGAGGCATAAAGATTTCAATGCTGCCTTTTATTGCAACATAAAGCTTATTTTTAGAAATTAAGGAATTTAGTTCAGAGCCATATTTCATTTCACAATAGCTGGGAGGATACCCAACAAATGACATAAATAAGAAGAGTGTGAGAAATGATAATGGAAACACAACATACCAAAACCTATGTAGAGCAAAAGCAGTAGTAGGAGGGAAGTTTATAGCTATTAGTGCCTACACCAAAAAAAAAGAAAAAATTTCAAATAAACAATCCAATGATGCATCTTAAAGAACTAGAAAAGCAAGTGCAAACCAAGCCCAAAATTAGAAGAAAATAATAAAGATCAAAGCAGAAATAAATAAATTTGAAATGAAAAAATATATACAAAAGATCAATGAAACAAAATGTTGGTATTCTGAAAAGGTAAACAAAACTGACAAACCAGGCTGAGAACAAAAAGAGAGAAGATACAAATGAAATTAAAAATAAAAAAGGAAACATTATAACTGATATTGCAGAATTTCAAAGGACCATTTCAAAGCACCTGCTATGAGCAACTATTTGCCAATAAATTAGAAAATCTAGACGAAATGGATAAATTCCCAGACACATACAACCTAACATAATTGAACCATGAAGAAATCCAAAGCCTGTATATATCAATAACAAGTAATGAGATTGGAGCTGTAATAAAGTCTCCCAGTAAAGAAAAGCCTGGGACCTAATGGCTTCACTGCTGAATTTTACCAAACACTTAAAGAACTAATACCAATCTTACTTAAACTACTCCAAAAAAATAGACACATTCTATGAGACCAGTGTTACTCTGATACCAAAACCAGACAAAGACAGATCAAAAAAACAAAACTACAGGCCAGAATCTCTGATGAACATTGATGCAAAAATCCTCAACAAAATACTAACAAACCAAATTTAACAATACATTAGAAAGATCATTCATTATGACCAAGTAGGATTTATTCCTGGGATGCAAGGATGGTTCAACACAAGCAAATCAATCAACATGATACATCATATCAACAGAAAGAAGGATAAAATCCGTATGATCATTTCAACTGATGCTGAAAAAGCATTTGATAAAATTCAACATCCCTTCATCATAAACACCCCCAAAGACAGGGGATAGAAATATATACCTCAACATAATAAAAGCCATATATGACAGACCCAGAGCTGTATCATACTGAATGGGAAAAACTGGAAGTTTTTCCTCTAAGATCTGGAACACGACAAGGATGCCCACCCTCATCACTGTTTCTCAACACAGCACTGGAAGCCCTGTCTTCCAGCAATCAGACAACAGAAAGATATAGACGGCATCCAGATTGGAAAGGAAGAAGTCAAATCATTCTTGTTTGCAGACGATATAATGTTATATTTGGAAAAAACAAAAGACTCCATAAGAAAACTATTAGAACCAATAAATTCAGTAAAGTTACAGAAGACAAAAGCAACATACAAAAATCAGGAGCATGTCTATATGACAACAGTGAATAATGTGAAAAAGAAATTTTAAAAGTAGTCCCATTTACAATAGCCACACCTAAGATTAAATACGTATGAATTAACTTAAAGAAGTAAAAGATCTCTATAGTAACAACAATTATAAAACACTGATGAAAGAAATTGAAGGCACCAAACAATGGAAAAACATTCCATGTTCATGAACTGGAAGAATCAATATTGTTAAAATGTCCATACTACAAAAAGCAATCTACAGATTCAGTGCAATCCCTATCAAAATACCAAGGACATTCTTCACAGAAATAGAAAAAAAACATTATAAAATGTATATGGAACCACAAAAGACCCAGAAGAGTCAAAGCTATCCTAAGCAAAAAGAATCACACTACCTGACTTCAAATTATACCACATACCTATAGTAACCAAAACAGCATGATACTGTCATAAAACAGATACATAGAACAATGGAACAAAATAGAGAATTCAGAAACAAATCCACACACCTAAATGAATTTAATTTGAAAAAGGTCCCAAGAACATATATCGGGGAAAAGACAGTCTCTTCAATAAATGGTGCTGGGAAAACTGGGTATCTATACTCAGAAGAAGGAAACTACACCCGTACTCTCACCATATACAAAAATCAAATCAAAATGGATTAAAGACTTAAATCTAAGACCTATGAAAATACTACAGGAAAAATTGGGGAAAATCTCCAGGACAGTGCTCTGGACAACATTTCTTGTGCAAAACTCCGCGAGCACAAGCAACCAAAGCAAAAACAGACAAAAGACAACATATTAGATTTTTTAAAAAGCAGGATCACAACAACATGGACAAAGGATACAATCATCCAACTGAAGAGACAACCCACAGAATGGGAGAATATACGTGCAAATTACCCAACTAACAAGGGATAAATAACCAGAACATATAACGAGCTCAAACAACTCTATAGGAAAAAAACCTAACAATCTGATTAAAAATAGACAAAAGAGTTGAATAGACATTTCTCATATGGCAAACAGGTACATAAAAAGGGGCTCAAAATCTTTGATCATCAGAGAAACACAAATCAAAACTACAATGAAATAATATCTCAAAATTCCCTTTTCTTCACATCCTTGCCAACATTTGTTATTGCCTGTCTTTGGGATATAAGCCCAGTTAAAATGGCTTATATCCCAAAGACAGGCAATAACAAATGTTGGTAAGGATATGAAGAAAAGGGAACCCTTGCACACTGTTGCAGAAAATGTAAATTAGTACAACCATAATAAAGAAAAGTTTAGAGGCTCCTAAAAATTAGGTTGCCATATAATCCAGCAATCCCACTGCTAGGTATACACCCAAAAGAAAGGAAATCAGCATATTGAAGAGTATCTGCATTTCTGTATTTGTTGCAGCACTGTTTACAAGAGCTAAGATTTGGCACCAACCAAAGTTTCCATCAACAGATGGATCGGATAAAGAAAATGTGGTACATATACACAACAGAGTACTATTCATCCATAAAAACCAATGACAGCCAGTCATTTGCAACAAATGGGGTGGAACTAGAGATCATTACGTTAGGTGAAAGAAGCCAGACACAGTGAGACAAACATCACATGTTCTCACTTATTTGTGGGATCTGAAAATCAAAACAATTGAACTCATGGAGACAGACAGTGGAAGAATGGTAAGGTTGGGAAGGCTAGTGCAGGGCAAGGGTGAAATGGTGGGGGGAGGTGGGAGATAGGTAATGAGTACAAAAACTGGAAAGAATAAGACCTACTGTCTGATAGCACAACAGGGTGACTACAGTCGATAATAACTAAATTGTACATTTAAAAATAACTTCAAGAGTCTAACTGGATTGTTTTAACTCAAAAGATAAATGTTTGAGACAAGAATATCCCATTCTCCATAATGTGCTTATTTCACACTGCATGCCTGTATCAAAACATCTCAGGTGCCTCACGAATATATATTATCTACTATGTACCCACAGAGAGTAAAAATACAAATAAAAAATAAAAAAGGAGAGCATGCCTAAAAATTTCCCACAGTCAAGTTTATAAGACTACTCAATAAGTAGTCTTACTCTCCATAAGATATAAAATAAAAATTTAATGACAAGAACATACTGATGGTTTTGTTACATTAAGTCACATCATTTTCTACATAGAACTTGTAGCTCCTAACAAGAATAGAAAGAAAAAGTCTAAATGACCTTATATGATAGTAAACCTCAAAACCTTTTTCATTCTTTATATACATTATTCTTTCTTTTTTTCCTGTTTTCCATTTGAAGCTCACATACTAAAAGGCTTGTCAAATTTTCTTGGCTTTTTATACCTTGAATTAAACTAGTATTATGTTCTTAGAAATATTATCAAGGCCTATAATTTCCAGTACAGCCTACAGGTGAGTGTAGACATTAGCACAAGTAAGGTGTTCAAATAGTATACAAAAGAATTTTGCCAGGTTGTACCATCACAGGAGGTGTCTTTTTATGTAATGTCACAGTAGGCAAAACAAATATCGCTCAGTAAACCTAAATGGTAAAGAGGCCTTGGTTTTCTTCATTCAGAAACAACTTTGCCAGTTGCTCTGTCTATTATGCTGCATGAAGTAACCACTACTTGACAGTGTTCTAACAGAACTTTTAAATTATTAACAAGAAAAGCAGCAAAATAAATTCTCTTCCCTAAAAGGAAGTTCTGTCTTTCCAAAGCTGCCTTACTTATTCACTACAATTTATAACTAAAAATTTCAATTCTCAGGACTGGAAGAGTTATCAAAAAAATATATATGTACATACTATATGAATCAGCTAATACTCCCTAATTACCTAGAGCAAATGGTAGTAAGAAAGCACTAGTAGTAGCAGTAACAGCAGAGTAAGAGTAAGGCGACATTTACTGACTACTTATCATGTTATAGAAACCTGCTAATTGTTTCTTATGAATCATCTCATTTAGTTCTCTCAACACTGCTAAAGAAACTGAGGCATAAAAAGGTTACATCATTTGCCTAAAATTATAGCTAGTAAAAACAAGGAAAAAAGACCAGAATCCAAAAACAGGCAGTCCAACTTGAAAGTATACACTTTTAATGCTTACTAAACTCCCTAATACTAGACCAATGTCAGGCCAAACTTAAATACCTACACCAAAGATATAGACCACAGATTCATGGCAATATATCAAAGCATTTGTTATATATTTTATTTTTGGAGATGACAAAGAATGGGAGGTAAGATTCTTTGGTCATTTGTCCTGAACATCAACACATGGGGTTCTCCAAGATTCCATGGTTCTCCAAGATTCCATGGTAGATTCTATGCTATCCCAGCAATCTTCTATGGCAACATTTCCCAAGGATCAGTTTACCAACTGAGGTGAAAATGAGAAAAATAAGACAAATATTTTTTACTAGGGTAAATTTTATTAAATTTTAAAGTCTATCCTTTATTTTAGGACATAATGTATCCTAGCTTTTTGATGTTAAAATATGGGAAATGATGGTGATAATGTAGATAGGTTGCTTTATTATTATTATTCTTGTTTTTTTTTATAAAGGATGTTTAATAAAATACTGAAATATCCTTATGTGACAGAATAAAAATTTAAGTATCCCCCATCTTATACTGGAGAGGAAGAGGCAGAGAGTGATCTCCACAAAAAACAAAAGGTTGAAAATTATTCTTAATTTTAGTCACCAACCCTAGATGGTAATCTCCTGTAAAAATAAATAAATAAATAAATATGAAAGATGTCAACACCATTATGATGACAACTGCTCAAATGCGTTAACAAACATGAGTGTGGATGTATTAAAAAGAACACAGGTCTTTGTGCCACTTATCAATTTAATTGCCTCTCATGCGTGCTTCCATGTCTACTTTGCAATAATGGACAGAATTTATTCAGCATTTCTTCTTATAGTGAGCATGACACTAAACTCAATGGTAGAGGGAACTATAAACTCAACGGTAGTCATGTAGAAGGGAGGGGCTTTTCAGCAGGGATGGGTAGAGTACATCCTCCTGTGCTCTGTCCAGCCATATACACAGTCCCTCAGTGACCACACAGCCCTGGCTCAAACTGAAGATCACTTTTCCATGGCCCTCTGAATTCAGATAGCATACTCCCCAGGTTTCAAACCAGTGCCCCAGTTCTCCCTGCAGACTATACCAGTTACCTACTTGCCAAAAACTGAAGACAAAATGTGGCTTAGGCTATAACCTGCATACTTCTCTCCATCCAATAGGCTGTAGTTTCTCCAACACAGCCTGAACCCTACCTAGAGTAAGAGGTCATCCTTCCAATTTTGTCATTCCTTGGATAATCTCCCTCCGTCGCAGAGCACCCTTTAGAGTTTTTTAATGCCTTATAGTGACTCTTTTATCATATCTTAATAATTCTTTGTACTAAACTTCTCCTTTTTAAATCACTGTATTAAGTTCTATCTCTTGATAAAAAGTCACACAGACCGGGCCGGGTGTGGTGGCTCATGCCTGTAATCCCAGCACTTTGGGAGGCCGAGGCGGGTAGACCACGAGGTCAAGAGATCGAGGCCATCCTGGTCAATATGGTGAAACACCGTCTCTACTAAAAATACAAAAAATTAGCTGGGCATGGTGGTGTGTGCCTGTAGTCCCAGCTACTCAGGAGGCTGAGGCAGGAGAATTGCCTGAACCCAGGAGGCGGAGGTTGCGGTGAGCTGAGATCACACCATTGCACTCCAGCCTGGGTAACAAGAACAAAACTCCGTCTCAAAAAAAAAAAAAGGTCACACAGACCTAGGTTCAAAATTGACCATTCACCAGTTTGTGGTCTTAAACTAATAAGTTATTTAAATAATCTGAGCCCTCAGTATTACGCTTATAAAACAGGAAACTTTACCATCTGCCTCATCATAGGGTCAATTATTAAGATTAAATAAGATTATGGATATTAAGGCCAATGCAGGTACTCGATAACTGGTCTTTCCTCTGGCCCTTCTCCATCTGTATCCCACTGGTCATTTAGTCTACGCCAAGAAGATACAAAGAAGCAATCAGATGAATGTGTGTAGCCTGGATTATCATAAACAGAAGAACAGAGTAGTCAAAAGCAAACACATTATAAAGCAAACATAGGAACCAACATAATTAGGACATCAACCTTCCAGCATCTGTCTCCTTGAAAATTCCATCCTGATTAGGACATAGTTCACAGCTAGGAGAAACACCACATTTACAGGCATCACAAAACCAAGGTTCAGTGGAGTTTTCAGAAGCTGAACTCATAATAGAGTCACTCTCTCCATCAACTCCATAACAACCTAAAAACAGAGAAAAACAATATAATTAAATTGTGTTTATTTTGTTAATGTCACATAAAATCACAAAAGAAAAAGAATAGTAAAGGGAAGAGATGAGGAAAAATATCTGAAAAACCAGTGATTTATAAGAAATGTATTACAATACAGAAATAAACTCATTTTATATGCTTTTTCACCTAATGTAGTATATATAATGACACACATGACATTTTAAAAACAGTTTTAGTCCTACTGCAAAAGCATTAACGGTAGGAAAACACTTAATACATTTTTAATTTAAAAAATAAAAAATGGGCCGGGCACAGTGGCTCATGCCTGTATTTCCAGCACTTTGGGAGGCTGAGGTAGGTGGATCACCTGAGGTCAGGAGTTAGAGACCAGCCTGGCCAACAGGTGAAACCTCATTTCTACTAAAAACACAAAAATTAGCTAGGCATGGTGGCAGGTGCCTATAATGCCAGCTACTCAAGAGGCTGAGGCAGGAGAACAGGTTGAACCCAGGAGGCAGAGGCTCCAGTGAGCCAAGATCATGCCATTGCACTCCTGCCTGGGCAACAAGAGTGAAACTCCATCTCATAAAAAATTAAAAATAAAACATATAAAAAATACAAGCTGTCATTAAAGAATTAAGATTATTATGGTAAATAATTAATTATGGTAAATTAATTATGGTAAATACTTATTGAGCTCCCTTTGTACCAGGTACTAAAATATATATATAAAAGACCAAACTCATGCAAAACAACATACAAACAAAAAAGTCTTTGATCTAATTTTAGAGGTGGCAGATTACACAAACAGGTATAATACAATTGTAAAGGCAAAGTTACACACCTAAAGCTATAGAACAGTTTGAAAAGTTCAGCCTAAAGTTAGGCTGAGTTCCAGGCACAACTGAGCCAATCTCTAACTATATGATGTATCTAATCTGTTTAAAAATTTTAAATTATTCTGTCTTCTGTGAAAAATTGTTGATTACTGAAATGAACAAAAACAATCAGTCATTATCCTTTTTCCTCTTCTCACTCACAAAACTCAATATACTGAGAGGATTTTGTCATTCTGTGTAGGCAGCTAATGTAATAAAAATCCTTAAAGAGTCTCATGAACACATCCAACAAACAAGATAACTTGGCACTGTTCTTTACATTTTAGAGTAGGACATGTCATACTTCAATTCAACTGCACTCTGACTATCAAACGCAAAGTTTCCTTATATACATGTCTGGAATTACAAGTTACGGTTGACAATGGGACACAGGTTTGAACTGGTCAGAAATCCACTTACATGCGGATTTCTTTCAATGCAACACAGAATGAAAATACGGCTATGGGATACAAAACTCAGATATATGAAGCACCAACATTTCATATTCGCAAGTTCCCCACATCTGACTGTGGGACTTGAATATGTGCTAATTTTGGTATCTGCAGGGGTCTTGGAACCAATCCTCTAGGTATATTGAGGAATAACTTATATTTAAAGTTACTATTTAGGCTTTCAGATCCACCTAAAATTGTTCTTAAGTTAAAATATTTTCCTTGATTTTGAATTTAAAAGAGTGGATTATTTATCAAAGCTGCAATAAGAAATTCAGGCAGGATTTCACTAACAATATCTTGTTAAATCAGGTTTTGATCATTAAAATTCCTAAAACTCAATTTTGTCTAAAAACTCAGCATTGATAAGGTTGTCAGTACCTGAGAAACCAACAAAATCTGCTAGAAAGCAATGTCACATTCATAATCATAAATAACTCTTTCTCAGCATCAAGATGCCTAGAAGTTTGTATTACTACCAACAAAGCATAATAAACATGGAATCTGATAAACGGAAATTGAAAAGTTCTGAGAGTATTTCATTCAGACTATAAAAAACCATGCGGAACTACTTACTGACAACCAACAATAAAGAACACTTCTCTACTGATGATAGTCATGACTCCTAAATAGATTTCTTTTTCCCAAATGGCGATAGACACACGCTAACTTCTCATTAACAAATTTCCCTTTCTTTAAAAAGGAAGCACTGCCCTTATGTAAAACATCCTTCAAAGAAACAATTTAAAGCGTATATAATAATGAATACACCGCAACTTAATTCTAGTCTTGATGTATCACCTTTAGGTTTGGCCATTTCTCCAGTCTGCTAAGACACATCTCAAGATTATTACATCTCAAAACAGGTCATTTCTAAAGATAAAATAACAATCACCCCAACATATTTTGACCAGGTTTATTCTAAGAGGGTAGGTTTTGGTGTCAAATTCTGAGGGGCACCCAACAAAGTAACCCCCAGGAAACTGATTACATTAAATAAGCCATGCTGAGAGACATGTATCAGTGATGACGACTAAAAGACTTCACCACCTATATATATTGACAAGTAAGTTTATATATATATATATATATATATATATACACACACACATATATATATACACACACACACACATACATACACACACATATATATATCTCCACTGTAAGATCACATGATTATTTGAACTGGTAAACACTAACCAGACAACTAGGAGGCTAAATTAGAGCGTGACCTCTCAAAACCATCGAAGAGATTCAAACTAAAATAAATAATTACAGTATATAAATAATTGAATGAATAAATACTGAGTTAAACAAATCAATGAGAAAGAAAAACAGCCATATACAATTAGTAAATAATTTTAAATTACCAACGTTAATTACCTAGATGTCATTACATGTCAACAGTTACATTTAAGTATTTTATTCATATACTATTTACCTAATATAGATCATAATTAAAATAGCCTAATAGTAAGCAAAAAGGCCGGACGCAGTAGCTCACGCCTGTAATCCCAGCACTTTGGGATGCCGAGGCGGATGGATCACGAGGTCAGGAGTTCAAGACCAGCCTGGCCAAGATGTTGAAACCCATCTCTACTAAAAATACAAAAATTAGCTGGGCGTGAAGGCACGCGCCTGTAATCCCAGCTACTCAGGAGGCTGAGGCAAGAAAATTGCTTGAACCTGGGAGGCAGAGGTTGAAGTGAACCGAGATTGCGCCATTGCACTCCAACCTGGGTGACAGAGTGAGACTCCGTCTCAAAAAAAAAAAAAAAAATAGCAAAAAAACCCTAAAAAGTTGGTTTGCAACTATGACTTACAGAAGCTGCTTCAAGCAACTATTTGCTATCTTTATGCTATTCAAAGGTTTTATAACAGTGAATTTTAATATAATCTGAAAGTCAACTAGGCCTTGTGGTTCATGCCTGCAATCCCAACACTTTGGGAAGCTGAGGCAGGATGATTACTTAAGCCCAGGAGTTTGAGACCAACCTAGGCAACATAGTGACACCCTGTCTCTACAAAAAATACAAAAAAGAGTTTAGCCAAGCACGCTGGCACACACCATAGTATCAGCTGCTAGAGAGGCTAAGGTGGGGGAATTGCTTGAGCCTGAGATGTGGAGGGTGCAGTGAACCAGCCTGTGCAACAGAGCAAAATCTCATCTCTAAAAAGTATATATGTATTTTCAGATTATGCATGTGCATGTATATATATATATAAAATATATAATATATAGATTTATTTTATATATACCATATTAATAGTTATGCTAATTATAGTTAATATTAAGTTATAAATTAAACTATATATAATTTTATGTAATTAATATTTTAATATACTTTCATACATAATTATTTATATCATACGTATACACACACAGTCTGAAAGTCATATAAAACGTCAAAGAAAAGACTTAAAAGGAACTAAACATGGCTAGGCACAGTGGTTCACGCCTGTAATCCCAGCACTTTGGGAGGCAGAGGCGGGTGGATCACAAGGTAAGGAGTTCGAGACCAGCCAGACTAACATGATGAAACCCCGCCTCTACTAAAAATACAGAAATTGCCCAGATGTGGTGGTGCACATCTGTAATCCCAGCTACTCAGGAGGCTAACACAGGAGAATTGCTTGAACCTGGGAGGCAGAGGTTGCAGTGAGCCAAGATCACAACTGCACTCCAGGCTGGGTGACAGAGTGAGACTTCATCTCAAAAAAAAAAAAAGGAACTAGACTATAGCACACAAGATAAGCAAGGGAATCAAAACTCATTAATTTCTTTAGTGTTATTAAATTGTGGTTGGCAATCATCCTCATCACCTTGTCAAGATACATATTATTTTAAATGCACTATCATAAAATTAAAAGGAAATACAATTTTCTTCTTGGGAGCAGTTTTATTTCCAATAAAAGAGCAAAATGTTATATTCAAAGAAAAATCATAAAATGAAACAATAAATATCATCAATCTATTTTGTCAATGTGCTATGCAATACTACACGGGAAAAAAAATAAATTTTCTTTACAAAACAATGTTCCTTTGAAACAAATTCAAACTAGATAAAATCTGCATTCACACAAGTAGGCAATTACCAAGAGAATAAAACCCTTAAGGAGCTATCCAATTGATTAACTTCATTCAGCCAAATTAAGGTAAATTACACAGTTCACACTTTTTAAAATAAAGACAATTTTCAATTATATTTTTAAAGAGTATTCCACACACACATGGCAAATGTGCACATTTGGACAGAGTTTTAAACCTCCTACAAACAGCCTTAGGAAAGATTTCTGAGACCCATTCCCAGGAAATTCTTCCTTTGTAATCTGGAAGATCGGTGTGCAAGCTCAAAGAACAACCAGCAAGTGGATAAGTATTTCTTCTTCAGCTTCACTATCCCTAAAAAATGATCCATACTGTGTCATTACCGTTACAAGGTTCTTTAGTTGCCACTTTTACCTGTCGCTTATCCAGTATTTCTCTGTCATACCAGTTGGGTTTACTGAGCTCTAGACCAAAGTTCTAGCACAGTATATCTGCTTCAATTCATTTTAACTGATGACTAAATACGTTCTAAAATCTTTCTTTCTTCCATATAAAACATGAATACGGGAAAACATATTTTCTTTTTCATATGGGTAAACAAAATAAACAAGGTATAAACATATAAAAC